CCGGGCCGGGGTTTTGGATGGGAGAGGGGGTGGGTGCTGTGCCGATTGGAGAGCCCGAGGTGGGTGGAGCGCAGAGCGCGGAACCAGCGCGGCCTGGGTCTCCGAAGGAGGTGCCGGAGCCGGTTGGGTCAGAAGGGATATGGCAACAGTAATTTAAGTTACCGTTTATGCCAATAATTCCATGTGTTTTTAAACGCTTTCCTCGTTGCATTTCACTCCGTCCTGCTGCAGTGGTTCTCAACCTTCTGGCCCTTTAAATACAGTTCCTCATGTTGTGACCCAACCATAAAATTTTCATTGCTACTTCATAACTGTCATGTTGCTACTGTTATGAATCGTAATGTCAATATCTGAGATGCAGGATGGTCTTAGGCGACCCCTGTGAAAGGGTCGTTCGACCGCCAAAGGGGTCGCGACCCACAGGTTGAGAACCGCTGTAAGGGTATCTCCTTACAGATAAGGGTTAGGGACTTGCCAAAGATGCACAGCTTGCAGTTGGTGTCTATGTCCACAGACATTTGACTGAGAAAGTGTGGGAAGATGGCCAGGGCTGCGGCTGGGCTGAGGGTGGCCTGGACCCCAACCCCAGCCCACCCTCAGTCTTTTGCAGGTGGGGTTGCGGCAGTTGGACATGTCCCTGCTGTGCCAGCTGTGGGGCCTGTACGAGTCAATCCAGGACTACAAGCACCTGTGCCAAGACTTGAGCCTGTGCCAGGACCTGTCATCTTCCCTGCATTCAGACAGCTCCTACCCACCTGATGCTGGCCTCTCCGATGACGACGAACCTCCTGATGCCAGCCTGCCCCCGGACCCACCGCCCCTCACTGTGCCCCAGACGCACAATGCCCGTGACCAGTGGCTGCAAGATGCCTTCCATATCAACCTCTGAAGAGCTGGGGGGGTGGGGGCGCATGTACCCATGCAAAAGGCTCAGAAACGTACCCCTCGGCAAGTACTCAGACTATAGTGCCTGCTTCCCCCTCACCACCTCACTCCACAGGAGGGAAGGCCTGGTCCCTCAGAGGCACAACTGCCAACCTCCTCCTGTCGGGTTAGCTGGCACTGGGCAGGCACCTGGGCTACCCTGCCCCTGGCGCTGGACCTCCACTTCTTCCCCGTGTATGCACCTCGGCTTAGCCAACCTTCAGTCTGTCCGTGGGCCCAGCGCATCTTCTCTCCCTCGGTATCTCGGACTGGGATGCGGATCTGACTCCCGTCTCCTTTTCACCTCGTGCTGCTGTTGGCAGCTGCTGGCTCAGGGGCATCCCACCTCCGGTCCCTGGGTTCCACTGCCCTCGACCAGGGCTCCAGGACCCAGTCTTGCACCCGCCCACAGCCGGGAGGGCCAAGACTCTGCGCAGGATATTTAAGTTGAGGGGCCAGCCTCCTGGGCGCATAGATCAATAAATCCTCTCCGCGTCCCAGCGTTCCGACTGCTTGGTTCTGGGGCGGGAAGAGAGCGGCGTTTCTGGCAAGTGCGGCCCCGTGCTCCGCCGGCAGGTGGCGCCGGAAGCCGAGTGAGAAAAGGCGGCGGTGGCCGGGTGCGCATCCTCCCCCAGACGGATCGGGGAGCTTTCCAAGTTGGCTCAGCCTGGCCCCGCGGTTGTGTGTCTGCGGGCAACTCACTTCCCCTCTCTGGCCGGAGGCCTGGAGCCCAGCCTCCTTCCCCACTCACTCGGGGCCTTCCTGGCGGCCTGGAAGGAAGGAGAAGGAGCCGCCCAACTGAAGGAGAGAATTTTCCACCGCGAGTCGAGGCGGGGCGGAGTTGGGGCAGCACAGGAAATGGGTGGGCCAGAGCTCGCAGGCCAAGGGGCCCCTCGGAGGGAGATGGGGGAGGGAGCGGGGAAGGCACTTCTGGGAAGGGCCTGGGAGCTAGTGAGCGCCCAGTGGGTGGGAGGAAAGAGCTGCAGAGGTAGAAGGGGGTGAAGTCGCCATCCCAGGTCTCCCAGAGGCCAAACAAGCCCTGAAGGAGAGGTGGGGGTCAGTGCCTCCGGCCTTGGTGCATAAGGCAGGGTCCCAGACACCCCCATTCCTCAGTCTCATACAGACAGCCTGGCCCCGCCCCACAGCACTTGGGACCTTGAGGGTTGTAAGTTAAAAAGTCTTACAGCCCTGGCCGGTTTGGCTCAGTGGATAGAGCGTCGGCCTGTGGACTCAAGGGTCCCGGGTTTCGATTCTGGTCAAGGGCATGTACCTTGGTTGCGGGCACATCCCCAGTGGGGGGAGTGCAGGAGGCAGCTGATCGATGTTTCTAACTCTCTATCCCTGTCCCTTACTCTCTGTAAAAAAAAAATAAATAAAGTATATTAAAAAAAAGTCTTCCAGAGGAAATGAAGGACCGCTCTGCTGGGACTGGGACCCAAACCCACCAGAGGAGCCGGCACACTTGGGGACGGTGGGTCCTCGTTCCCTCATTCACACACAAACACCCCCAACTTCATATATATATGACTGATTTCAGAGAGGAAGGGAGGAGAGATAGAAACATCAGTGATGGGAGAGAAACATTGATCAGTTGCCTCTTGCATGCCCCACATTGGGAATCGAGCCCACAACCCAGGCATGTGCCCTGACAGGGAATTGAACCATGACCTCTTGGTTCATAGGTCGACACTCAACCACTGAGCCACACCGGCTGGGCATCACCCCACAACTGAGACCAAGAAGCGAGAACAGGACCAGGAAGTCGCACACTTAGGCTTTGGGGTTGCGCAGACCCACGCCCAGTTTCTTGTCTCTTGGAGACAACGCGGCCGGTGCTCCTGGCAGATGAGGCCTCCTGTGTAAATGGAGTGTTTATCAAGCACCAGGCTTCTCTGTCCGCTCACCAACCTTGCAGAGCTCGGGCGCTGGGGGGAGGGAACTGGCTGATGTGCTGCCGGGCCGGTTCTCTAACTCGGCCTGACACCTGCGGCTCATTACCATACCGGGCGGGCGGGTACGATGGGCTCTAATCTAGGTGTGAACAGTGGCTGACACCCAAGGCGGACTTCCCGGGGAGGGAGCGTCAACACGCAGTCCCGTTAGTGATAACGGATTCTACGCCATGAAACCTCAAACTGTAAGGTTCCCAAGTACAAACACAACTGCCCAAGGTTTCATCCCCTCCGTCACCGTGAAAGGCGGGACTCTAATGACTCCTGTTGAACCGGTGGGAGCCAGGCTCGGCGTGGTGCGCTCTGCCCGGGGCACGCACTGTGGACGGTCTGAACCCCCAGCTCCGCTTGCTGCTGGGACTGGCTTCCTACTGACGGGCAGACGGGTGCCGGCCGCAGAGAAGGAGCCTGTTGGACTGCTGTGTCCTCCTCCTATCACCATTCAGGATACCGAAAGCTCTGGGACCAGAGGCGAACTGTTGCACTGAGCAAGTCTCCTCAGTAAATAAGACCTCTGTTTCGAAGATTCTTCCATAAAAAGCTACATTTTAAGTCTAAGACATGCCAATAGGTTTGACCACTTCCATTTGATCATTCAATTCTTCCAAAAAGCGTAAATCAGTATTCGAGGAAAACACAGCCTGTTTGTCCAATAGGTCACTCATGACCAGTAAAAAACAGGCAGTCCAGAAAGTTTCCTGCAAGAAAACAACTTTTTCTGATGTGCTCGATATTCCATTAGCAGCAGATCCCCTGCTGACATGCATCTCGGCTAATGATTTTAAGAAATCAA